GCCATGATTTGCCATAAACATTGAAATATTATTATAATAATATACCAATTTAATTGACAAATGAACAAAATAACTTCGCTTTACCCTGATGTAAAGTTCGTATAATATGTTACAAAGGTATCAAATACATGTTGCAATTCATTAAGTTTAGAAAGAAACGATATGAGCAGCAATCTCACCATTTAAGATAGTGTTCCATTGAAAAAAGAAGGATATGTTGTATGATTACCAATGAGACAACTATCCACCAAAGGTATATGAAGTGGATGAAGGCAAGTATAGGCAATCGTACACCAAATATGATGAAGAAAATCAACACAGTATAATCGACTTTTAAAGGCCTCGACAAGAAAAATTTTAAAAAAGAATTCCATTGAAAAAACTAATGGCCAAAAATACATCGGAATTCTCAAAAATTCTGAATGTTATTTTCATTTAAGATACAGTACCTGCAGATCTTATTGCAGTGTATTAAATATTTATTAATTGATTGTTGTGGTTTTAACGCCATTTTAAAGCGCCCTTTTGTTTGTGGTTTTTCGTGGCGGACAGTTTTTATGGGTGGAAAACGCGAAGTGCCCGGAGAAAGAAAGAATAGATTGCCTTATCTGCATTTGGCAAGACCTTATCGAATTTTGTAACCTGAAAGCTTCAAAACTTCGTTCCATTGTTTATTTATTCGAGCGTTACTGATGAGTCTGCTGGTGAAGATAACGCGAGATTGAGTTTTTCTTAACCCGAACTTGAAATTCATAAGACACATCGGTGTAAGTACAAGTTAGGTTGTACATTCTTTTAATCGTACCGTACAATGCAATCACGTTCTTTTTTACCAATTTCCATGCGTGTAACTATTATACTAACCAAGAAAACCCTATTGTAAAAGCTAAAGAGTCATCTATCATTTACAATGGATTTGTGACTTTTGAACAGCGGTATACTACTGTTGCCTTTGTCAATTTACGAAAATTATCAACATAGGGTGTTATCAAAATGTGTTACTGTGTATAATGTTCTATAGGTAATATATATATTTCATATTCAAGAACGCATATACACCACTGTCTAAGGTTAGGGGGAAGGTTGGGATCCGCTAATATGTGTAACCCCTCGACAGTCTGTATGTATGTGCCTGTCCCATGTAGGGAGCTTGTAATGCAGTGGTTGTCGTTTGTTGATGTGTTACATTTTTGTTTTTCGTTCATTTATTTGTGCATAATTTAGGCCGTTAGTTTTCTCGTTTAAATTGTTTTACATTCGTCATATAGGGTCCTTTCTAGATGACTATACGGTATGGCTTTGATCATTGTTGAAGGCCGTACGGTGACATATAGTTTGTGTTTATTTATTGTTAAACACAATTTGTCCCTAAAATTTAATTTGAGACCAAAATTGGTTTCCATTTCATAATTCAACCGATATATATATTTGTCATTTTATTCAAATCAAAGCACATATAGATGTTTCTCAAGAAAAAATTTTTGTCAAACATTTTACATTCCCAGGACCAATTTGGACTAGTATATCATATATAAGTATCTCAAAACTCGATATAGATCTTCCTTTTAAAGATGCATGTAAAACAGTTTGTTTTAAAGACTTTGTAAATATAGAAATTAAATAAGGCAATTATGTTTTATCATGCGTTATAAAGTGCTGACAACGGGACACACAAAGAGTGATTATCATATAGCACCACCGACTAGCCAGTTATTACTTACTACTAAAAAAAAACAGATTCAATGTCATTAAAACCTCATTGAACTATATGTTTTCGGAAGTCATTCAAGTCACTTATTGTGCGTAACCGATAACAATCATTGCGCATACCAATCTAACTGCAGATTAGACTGTTTTACAGAATGTTGGTAAAAAGAGACATCTGAGCATTAATGGAGGTTATATGGTACATGTGGTAAGAGCCATGATTTGCCATAAACATTGAAATATTATTATAATAATATACCAATTTAATTGACAAATGAACAAAATAACTTCGCTTTACCCTGATGTAAAGTTCGTATAATATGTTACAAAGGTATCAAATACATGTTGCAATTCATTAAGTTTAGAAAGAAACGATATGAGCAGCAATCTCACCATTTAAGATAGTGTTCCATTGAAAAAAGAAGGATATGTTGTATGATTACCAATGAGACAACTATCCACCAAAGGTATATGAAGTGGATGAAGGCAAGTATAGGCAATCGTACACCAAATATGATGAAGAAAATCAACACAGTATAATCAACTTTTAAAGGCCTCGACAAGAAAAATTTTAAAAAAGAATTCCATTGAAAAAACTAATGGCCAAAAATACATCGGAATTCTCAAAAATTCTGAATGTTATTTTCATTTAAGATACAGTACCTGCAGATCTTATTGCAGTGTATTAAATATTTATTAATTGATTGTTGTGGTTTTAACGCCATTTTAAAGCGCCCTTTTGTTTGTGGTTTTTCGTGGCGGACAGTTTTTATGGGTGGAAAACGCGAAGTGCCCGGAGAAAGAAAGAATAGATTGCCTTATCTGCATTTGGCAAGACCTTATCGAATTTTGTAACCTGAAAGCTTCAAAACTTCGTTCCATTGTTTATTTATTCGAGCGTTACTGATGAGTCTGCTGGTGAAGATAACGCGAGATTGAGTTTTTTTTAACCCGAACTTGAAATTCATAAGACACATCGGTGTAAGTACAAGTTAGGTTGCACATTCTTTTAATCGTACCGTACAATGCAATCACGTTCTTTTTTACCAATTTCCATGCGTGTAACTATTATACTAACCAAGAAAACCCTATTGTAAAAGCTAAAGAGTCATCTATCATTTACAATGGATTTGTGACTTTTGAACAGCGGTATACTACTGTTGCCTTTGTCAATTTACGAAAATTATCAACATAGGGTGTTATCAAAATGTGTTACCGTGTATAATGTTCTATAGGTAATATATATATTTCATATTCAAGAACGCATATACACCACTGTCTAAGGTTAGGGGGGAGGTTGGGATCCGCTAATATGTGTAACCCCTCGACAGTCTGTATGTATGTGCCTGTCCCATGTAGGGAGCTTGTAATGCAGTGGTTGTCGTTTGTTGATGTGTTACATTTTTGTTTTTCGTTCATTTATTTGTGCATAATTTAGGCCGTTAGTTTTCTCGTTTAAATTGTTTTACATTCGTCATATAGGGTCCTTTCTAGATGACTATACGGTATGGCTTTGATCATTGTTGAAGGCCGTACGGTGACATATAGTTCGTGTTTATTTATTGTTAAACACAATTTGTCCCTAAAATTTAATTTGAGACCAAAATTGGTTTCCATTTCATAATTCAACCGATATATATATTTGTCATTTTATTCAAATCAAAGCACATATAGATGTTTCTCAAGAAAAAATTTTTGTCAAACATTTTACATTCCCAGGACCAATTTGGACTAGTATATCATATATAAGTATCTCAAAACTCGATATAGATCTTCCTTTTAAAGATGCATGTAAAACAGTTTGTTTTAAAGACTTTGTAAATATAGAAATTAAATAAGGCAATTATGTTTTATCATGCGTTATAAAGTGCTGACAACGGGACACACAAAGAGTGATTATCATACAGCACCACCGATTAGCCAGTTATTACTTACTAAAAAAAAACAGATTCAATGTCATTAAAACCTCATTGAACTATATGTTTTCGGAAGTCATTCAAGTCAATTTTTGCGCGTAACCGATAACAATCATGACGCATACCAATCTAACTGCAGATTAGACTGTTTTACAGAATGTTGGTGAAAAGAGACATCTGAGCATTTATGGAGGTGATATGGTAAGAGCCATGATTTGCCAAAAACATTGAAATATTATTATAATAATATACCAATTTAATTGATAATTGAACAAAATAACTTCACTTTACCCTGATGTAAAGTTGATATAATATGTTACAAAGGTATCAAATACATGTTGCAATTCAATGATTTTAGACAGAAACGATATGAGCAGCAATCTCACCATTTAAGATAGTGTTCTATTAAAAAAAAGATGTGTTGTATGATTACCAATGAGACAAAAGAGGGACGAAAGATACCAGAGGGACAGTCAAACTCATAGATCGAAAACAAACTGACAACGTCATGGACAAAAATAAAAAGACAAACAGACAAATAATAGTACAGATGACACAACATAGAAAACTACAGACTAAGCAACACGAATCCCACCAAAAACTGGGGGTGATCTCAGGTGCTCCGGAAAGGTAAGCAGATCCTGCTCCAAATGTGGCACCCGTCGTGTTGCTTATGTTATTACAAATCCGGTAAATAGTCTAATTCGGTAAGTCACATTCGTGAAAAGGGACCAATGAGACAACTATCCACCAAAGGTATATGAAGTGGATGAAGGCAAGTATAGGCAATCGTACATCTAATATGGTGAAGAAAATCAACACAGTATAATCGACTTTTAAAGGCCTCGACAAGAAAAATTTTAAAAAAGAATTCCATTGAAAAAACTAATGGCCAAAAATCAACGGAATTCTCAAAAATTCTGAATGTTATATTCATTTACGATACAGTGCCTGCAGATCTTATTGCAGTGTATTAAATATCTATTGATTGATTGTTGTTGTTTTAACGCCATTTTAAAGCGCCCTTTTTTTTGTGGTTTTTCGTGGCGGACAGTTTTTATTGATGGAAAATGCGAAGTGCCCAGAGAAAACCACTGACCTTCAATAGGGAAGCTAGCAACATTAGTGAATTAAGATTGGAGTGGAGCGGGGTTCGTTTTCACTGGGAAGTGATTACTGTGAGTGAGTAGTAACTACTTAGACCACTCGGCCACCGAGACTTCGTGTATTAAGGAGATATATACATGTTGATCTATCATATAGATAAATTACGCTGTGTGTGTATCAATGGTAGCTGGTTAGTTATGTTGAATAATTTCTATCAATTCTTATTCGATATTTTTATTAGATCATATTCAATGTTACACGTTAACATTGTTTTTAAATATAACATGATCAGTACAATTATGTACACATAATGTACAATTAACTGTTAAAATCGAACAATTAATGTTACGATTCTAATGTCTTTTCTCTTTTTCTGTTTACTTTCCAGCATCTAAAAAAGAAAGAAAATAAATAGATGCAATTCCCATGTTTTACAACCAGAGGATTCCGAATATCTGGCAAAAATTAAAAGCAAAATGAGCAAACATCAATAAAAAAAGAAATACGCCATGGCAGCCGTAGATTTATTTAATCCCGGTTTGGACATTTATATTCGATCGTTTCATGATAGTGAGAGGTCAAATACGAACATAAATTACCAAATTATTTCTTTCTTGACTTTGTTGAAGTATCAGATATGTTGATTGATTGATCGTTAGATTACTGTTTGCTAAAGGTAGAGACACATTTAAACCCATGAACAATAAAAATTAAAATCCCAAAAAAATCAAAACGGAAAGTTCCTAAGAAAATGGCAAAATCAAAAGCTCAAACACATCAAACATATGGATAACAACTGGTATATTCCTAAATGATATAAAGAATAAGTGATCGATCAATTTGAAATGCTTAATCTGGAGATATTTTTTTTCCATCTAATATCTTATCTTATCTTCGCATATTTGTACAAGAACAACCTGCGCGCTATGATTTTTAATTTCAAAGGTCAAAACCTGAACTTATAGACCTATGATTGATATAAAGTCGCCTCTCTTCATTAAAAAGTAAAGATACATTTGATTGGCTGTTATAAGCTTAGCATTCATTGGAAAATATCTCTTGAATATTGGTCATGACAGTAAAAATAAAGTAACACTTACTATATGCACCAGCTTGAAGGAAACTATCATCAATGGCAATATCACCGACTTCTCCATCACCAATGGACCCTACTATGGTGATCTGAACAAAAATAAAAATATATTGCTAGGTTAAGACACCAATTTCATTAATTTGTAAGCCTTTTTTTCATTTATTTCTTTTAAAATCAAAACTATAAAAAAAGGATTGCACCTGATATAATCAATCTTTAATTACCTACTATATCATGTACTGCACTTCCATAGGACAATCAGTAAATAAAGGAAATAGTAGTATACTGCTGTTCAATAGTCATTGATGCATTCAACTGAAACAAATCCGGGTCACAAACCAAACTGAGGGAAACACATCAACTATAAAAGGGAACAGAAACCTTGAACTGCTACAAAAACAAACGCCAACATACATAGAAACGGACTCTGTGATAACAACTGCCGTATTCCTGACTTGGTACACGACAAAGTTATGTGCAATTTACTTCACATTATGTCTATAAGAGGTCGGTCAATTCAGTATAAATTCGATCGTAGGAGAACTATTAGAAAGAAATACCGAGGTGTACAATTTTCATTAATCATATAAGTAACTGACCTCGATCATGTTTGTACAGTATAAACTTCGATGTACATGTGCATAAAGTGACTTCCTGATCACATCTTCTTTCTCGGGAAGGTAGTTAGATTCATAATCAATACCTAAACATCGGGCATGGACCTTTCATCCAAGATTAGTTTTTGACAAATGGTTAGGATTTTTTATTATTTTTGATTTAGGTTTACCCATCAAATTTTATTTGATATATAATTTATATAATATAATACTTACAACAAGATTACTAAATTGTGGTATGTCCATAGTTCCAGTGTTCCATTTAACGGGATCTTGGGTTTGTGGTCCTATTTTTTTCCAGAAACTTGTCAGAGAAGATGTCTTATCCCCAGCAAATACTTCTAATGATCCTATTGCAACCCCTCTCATATGGTACTTGAAGGACAGACAATAAGGACATGCTGCAATAATAAAGCTTATAATCAAATCACTGCTAAAAGATCTAATAGAATAGATATGCATAGGTTCAACCACTGCAACAAGTGTGTTATGATATTTCTCAACTGAAGATAGTTAAATTTTAATATTTACGCGTGAGACTTGCGTGTATTTTGAACAACTAAAATTTAACTGTTGAGAGTGGACAAATATCATAGTATCATAATGGTTACAAATTCTAATGAAGAAAGATACAAATTAAAATTATGTTTTTTGCCAAATTCACCAATTTACAAAGATGTTGTTCTCCTATTTCATATTTGTGACGGTTAAAAAAGCTTGACAACTTCGCCAATATTTTGCCGCCTTAAGGAGGTTGGCTACTCAGTTTCAAAATAACAAGCTGTTCATAACACTAGAATATATTGATAGGGGATGATTAAAGGAACAAAAGAGCAAAAAAAAAAAAAAGGTCAATGTGCTTGTTTTCGTCATATTAGACATTGCAATTTTGGCTGGAAAATGTTCTCTCTTGACTTTTCATAGCTTTATCATTGACAAGTTTAAGGTATTAAAAACTATTAAAAAATAACAAAGATTTTACAAGACTTTTACAGATGGCTTATAAATATACATGTAAAAGATTTATAAAAAGAAAATTGGGGGTCAATGGGCAAAATTTTATAAGGCATTCAAATGGATAAAACCAAAGGATTTCGAAAATCTGACAAAAAATCCAAAACATGACAAGCGACCCTCCTTAAACTGATTCTGAACAATGAACAATTTGCTTAATCGCATATCATTTTCACGAGACATGTTTACAAATCTCATAGAATATGTTATACAACATTTAGACATTATCTGTGATACGATTCATTGAAAATAGTTGATTTTTGAAATTTTTGAAACCTCCTCGATTGATTCGTTGTAGTCGTTGCTTTGCGTGAGGTCAAGGCTTTGGTGATGACTTGCTTAAGACACACGCTGTCATTTCCGTCAAGCAGAAGGTATGAAGTAGTTAGAAAACATACTTGGCAGCTCAGAGTCCACACAAATATGTCAGAGTAGGGAAATATCTTGCTGCAAAGTCTGACTCCTGTGGTTTTTATTGTTATTGTCATCAGTATCTAATTAAAGTAGCTGACTAATTAGCAGCCAACAATCAATGGTGGGTTAAATCTGGTTGTAGTATCTATGCCTTAACCTCTAATTTATAAGACAGTTGTTACCCGTTCCATTGACAAAAATGTGTGAGCAGTACAAAGGTGCTTGATTTCTTGATTAACATCATATTTGTTACAAATATTCACCTGGAGGACGTGTTTTCTATGAAACACACATAATTCCCATGGAAACAAATTATCCCCCCCCCCACCCTTTCTTGCCAACTTGTTTGGTTATTTCTATGTGGCTGACATGAGACAGAAACTTCTTAGGAAAACAAAAAGAAGTTAGCAGTATCCTTTACAATAACCTTTGTCCAGTAATTCATTTGTTTTGTGAACATGAATTTAAATGAATGCCATAACTGGAAAAATTAAGTAAAATGCCAGCATCGATACCTTGTAAGTTTGTAGCTTCAGTTGTGAGTATAGCTTTAGCTCTAATAACCATCAAGGTGTCTGGGAAGGTAGGGTTACCAGCCTCTGTGAATATGTAATATCTTCCCTCGGCCGCTGCTGAGGGCCCAGTTCCCGGAGTGTTTGTAAAACCCTAAAACACAAATAGTTTAAACTTGATCAACCGTTAGATTTCCGTTTACTATGTTGAAGGTTTAAAACGTGAACTAAAGAGAAAATACATACATAGTTTGTACATATACATTAAAAATTGAACTCATCTTATCATTTCTGGAATAGTTTAATGTTAATTAAAGGATATGAAGGGTATATTTTAAAGAAACAGCAACACGATGACACAACAAAAGAAAAGACATCTAGACGCCATCATATTGGTAGTTTATAATTTTAATATTTCATAATATTTTTATCTTATCTAGATAAGGCACAGTTTCTTTCTTTTTCAGTAGTGTTATATAAAAGATAAAACGAGCCGTTGTCAGTCGCTTTAATTAAAAATCTAAATCAAAATCAATCCATTTAATAACATCCTTTCCATATTGACAATAAGCAGTTTGGAATTCGTGGTTTCAAAATGTTTGTTCTATTTTGAACCCCCTCAGAAAGCTGAAATAGTCTGGTCATGTGTCAATGCCCATAACTTTATATTTAATATAGACGACACATTGTTGGTCCAAGATATGCATAACTTTATGGAATAAACATGTATCTTGGCTGTGATAAACCGATGCGGGCCAGGACTATTTCACTAGAATTTAACCATTCATCTGTCATTATTTATTTTCATAGATTTTGTTTTACACATTTGCTTTAGGTCTAAGTGTTTCATATTATTTAAGTAAAAAAAAAATGTTAACACAGTCATATGTCTCACCTGAATGTATTTTTGAAAAAAAAAACAAAATGGTGCACAATGAAAAAAATCTGCGAAAAGAAACAAGATATTAAAATATTAAATCGTTTAGATACCAAAAATCATTGCTTTTAAGTGTGTTCTCCTTTAACTCAGCTATTCACAAATGTAGAAATGAATACGGACTATGTGGGCGGGGCCATATAATTTCATTTCGTATTTATTCGACGTATGAGTTTAAATATCTATTTTAAAATTGTCTTCTTCTATTAATAAACTATACGTATCATATCATGTACCACTGGTCGTAAATCAAAGGCTTTTTTTCTTGTGAATTAGACCAGTTATTTGAAAAACTTACAGTGTGTCGTGACCAATCAAAATCATCAAGGGATGAATCCTCAAATACACATGGTGCAACAGTCTCAAATCCACAGCTGTAGTTTGTAACTCCAAGATCTGTGCAGAAAAGTTTATCGATAATGAATTGAAATACACTAATTTAAAAAAAACTTCAAAACTAAGCCGTGTTAGTCGTCTTTGTCATGTTAGCTTTTCACTTCACTATTATCTTCGTGGTTTTCTTTTGCTTATTTCGATAAAATGGAAACTAATTATTCATTAACATTTTTTCAAAGTGTAATTTGATATATTTATTGATTGATTGATTATTTGATTGTTAATGTCACTTTGGCGCCATTTTCAGCTCTATTGCGTTTCTTCGTGCCGTTCAGTTTTTGTTGCCGGAGAAAGCTTCTGGGATTCTGATCCTATTTGATAACTATCAAATAAAATATTACAATAATGACATCATATGCACGAGCACGTGTCTGTTTAAAACTGATATTAAAATTTGAGAAAAGGCTTTGTAGGCTTTCATTGAAATAATGTATTTGAGTAGGGTGATAGAATCTAAAGAAAGGAGTTCTTTAATTGTTGTTCCTTGTCATTAATCTAAAAGAGCTGATTCACGGCCAAATATATATCGTACATTTGTGCCTGCTAAATTCCGAATAGCCACTTGTGATAAATAATCAAAATTAACACAAATTAACAGTAAATCAAGCATGTATGTACGGGAAAGTAGGTAGGCCAATATGAAATGACGGCAATTCAAATGCAACTTGAAAAAGGCATGTACAGACGCTGGGCTGTAAAACTGATCTTAAAAACCTCAATGACTACGTAAGCGTGAATTTGAAGTTTAGATATGAGCCAAAAGCTACCGATGAAAAAACCAAAATTCTGAAATCTTAAGCATGAAGAATGAAAATAACACTGTATAAATGAAATGTGTCTCACTCTAATTGAATAGAAAGGACAAGAACTGTCGCATGGTTTATGTGTTTACTTATATTTACAACATGGTCTTCCAGAACAACATTGTCCTTCATCTATCCACCCTTTACCAAACGCATCATCACAGGTAAATCCTTTTCTTCCACATGTGCCATTTGAAGCCAGACAATTTCCAGTGAGTCCTAGAGAGTATAGTATTTCAACACAATGTGATATCATAAACTCAAATCTCTGAATTATCCAATACGAAAATGGCTTTTTTTAGGAAATGACCTGTTTATAATTATGATGTTTAAGTAAAATTCTTGGAAAGTGCAATAGGTCAATGTCATTTGAAAACCAAACCTCTCATTATTATCGACTTTTTTAATATAACGTTAATTCTTCATATGAACAGCATTTTTATCTGATAGTATTAATTGAAAGAAACATCATATATATTTTTTTTTTCAATCCAATTTAATTGAAGGAAAATTTGTTACATCAGTTTCAGCCTTCCCTATATCGAGATACCGGTAACTAAAAAAAAACAACAGTAGTTACCGCTGCAATAACAAATCCAGGTAACAAACATTAATCTTGGGTCACATCAACTATGAGATGGAAAACAGAGATCCTGAACTACAACAAAAGCAATCGCAAACATGCCTAGAAACGGACTATCTGATACAAATGACATATTCCTGACTTGCTACAGGACATTTTAAGAAAAATGGTGGGTTGAACCTGTATGTATGACTAGCTTAACCTTCCGCTTATATGTCAATGTTGATAATACCGTTAAAATGACAACACTATTAGACAGGACAAACAAACGCAAGAACACTCAGTTTAGAGAGATACATAAATAAATATAATTATAGTACATTACAACATGTAAACCGCAGAATAACAACGGACACCTCCCATTAATTTACGACAGCACACCGGGACAAGACAAACACAATATAAAGTGCAAGTTTAAAACAGAGTTACGCTTATGTGCATTTCCTATTGTGTCTTTCAAACATCAACACTTGTTGACTTTATGTTTTTATTCCACTTTAAATGTATCCTCACCTCTATTGTATACTTTGACGTTTTACAAGTTTCATTTATTGATTGGATGTGGTCCTTCGGGCAAATAAAATTTTGATTAAAACAGGTAATACTGTATAATCAGGTTCAAACTAAACGTGCATGCGGATATGGTTTTGACCTTCGCCTTGAGTTATTCTCAGTTATGAACCCGTAACTAATTAGTTACGACAGCATCCACCTATATACGATTAAACATAAAATATTACTTACTTCCGCAATTAGAAACACTTATTATGCAGAGGATGATTACAATCAAACAACAAAATTTCGTCATGATTCTGTAATTCTAAACAGAAAAATTGTATATATCAATTATATATTCAAGCTTATTCACAGAGGAATTGTCACTCAGGAAAGGCGCTTTTGTACTTGTATGCGTTTAATGATCAATTTTGATTGTTATAGCTTCAAGCTCCTAAAATATGCTAATACAAAAGTTCGAAGTAGCCAATAAACAGCCATATAGACTGGAATGGTTTTTGCTATAAAGGCACTTATCCTTGATCAATGTTGAATACGGAGATAATTCAGATATATGCACTGTGTTTTTAGCTGCAAACAGCTTTGATATATGTCTTTATATGCGAATTTCACTTTCCTTATACCTAATTTGTACTTATTGTTTTAAACATAAACTCATCGCAATATCTTTTTACTCTCCGATATTTGAATGTCTGTATGTTGTTTTATGATTTTGTTATTTAATTAATTACTTAATATATAATTTTGTAAGATTATGTTGGAATCACATTTTCTGCGTTCTTTTTTTTTTCTCTTGTTCTGTTGTTTAAATCATAGAGTATTGTATGTATGCTTGGTATGAGTAATAATATTATAATGTGTGATGACTAATCAGAGCGATTTTTAGCCGACTAATTGGTATGGATTTTTCTCATTGTTTAACGCCGTACGGTTGTCATTAGAACTTTCATGGAGGTTTGTCTCGTTGGCAAACATACCACATCTCCTTATTTTAATATAAATAGTTTTAAACAATCAAATAATTTATTGAAAGTTCAGAAAAAATGTGTAAAAAACAAAGAGATATCAACCCCCCCCCCCCCAAAAAAAAAAAAAACCCAAAAAAAAACAGGTAACACCAGTACATAAACTAAAAACAATGAAAGTACAAAAACAGAAATTATAAACAATATACAGAAAACTTAAAATTGGGCAACAGTAAATAAAATAGTTTAGTAAAGTACCAATTGTGTCAATCATAAAAAATAAAATTAAGTATGGAAATGGGGAATGTGTCAAAGAGACAACAACCCGACCATAGAGCAGACAACAGCCGAGAGCCACCAATGGGTCTTCAATGCAGCGAGAAACTCCCGAACCTGTAGGAGTCCTTCAGCTGACCCCTAAACAAATATGTTACTAGTTCAGTGATAATGGACGTCATATAATACTCCGAATTATACACAAGAAACTAAAATTAAAAATCATACAAGACTAACAAAGGCCAGAGGGTCCTGACTTGGAACAGGCGCAAAAATTCATTGACAAATTTGATATTTGTTTTGAATAAATATCTAAGCAAACAACATAAGCTGACAATTTAGGTTCAGAGTGATTTTCGTGTCTTAGGAAATAACTGAACACTTACCACAATGTGTAATAGCAGAACTTATGATAATTAGATAACTTTTCAAATTAAGTGGCTACTTAAATAGCACATGCAATTAAAGTACTCGAGGAATGCTGTAGGTGTTGAACAATTAATGGTGACATATGTTGTTTAGATTTGTTCAATTTTACTGAATATGCAAAATGGTTTGGGCGTGCAACATCTTTCATCTTTTGTTATACATTTGCACTTTTTCATAGATAGTTTACGTAAGCGATTGTTTAACCTGTACATGTAGTCTTTCAAACCAGAAAGACAAAACTAAATTGTGTATTATTTCAATATCTACAAAATGTGATCACAATTGTACCCAATTTTACGCTTTCATGGTCGTTGTTTGATAAACGTCAAAATCTCTACATAATTTGATTGATATATTTATTGGTTGGTATTCAACGCCACTCTAACCACAATGTTTTTTTTTTTTCTTTTGGGGCTGTCAACCATTGACATTCGGTAGGGAAACTGACTTTAATCCTAGTCAATGAAAATTTGAGTCTTGCGCACCTTGAAAGTGGTGAGGTAATCAAACTCACAACGGTATCTTCGGTGTTGACAGACTAGTGATGTAGTAGATGGACCAACTAGATCATTTGGCAAACGGTGACTCCTACGTTGTTAAATAAGATAAGACAAGTTTAAAACCGTATTTATGATATCCCATATATCAATGAAATTATCTTATATATTTTCATATGTAGTCATGCATTGTGAGATCTTAATTGTGTGATAAACGTGTATTTTTAAAAACTTTACATTATCATGATTCTAGGGAATCGACAGTTACTATCATTTTGTGTTTGTTAGTCAGTTGTTTTAATCGTTCAATCGGTATATTTTTATTTTGTATCTTGGTGTAATTTGAATGAGTGGAGATTTACTGGCAATAGTCTTTTTATAACATAGCATGTATTTTAAAAGATGAATACGTTTCTATATAGCATTTGCAATTCGTTGGACATTGAAACTCATGGTTGTGCTTCATAGAAGTTGTGATCATTCTTTTCGCATGTTGAATCATCAATACAAAGACCGATTGGTGGTTTTCTGCTGTTATCTGCTCTTTGGTCAGTTGTTGTCTCTTTGACATATGCCCCATTTCGATTTTCAATTTTATTGTACAACTTTGCTTGGTATAGGTATGTATGATCTTTCTGTTATTTCATTAATATATCAGTTTGTCATGATATCTTTAGAAAGTTTTTTGTTATATTTGCAAATAAAAGTTAGTTAAAGTACTCAATGATACTGACTAGATGTGCAACATTGATTTGTAACATTTTTTGTTTTTCATCGTTTATTTAACCGATTATGCAAATTATGTACTTCTTGATGTTGCACTTTTAACATCTGGTATAACTTATTCAAACTTTCTTTAGGTTGTTATCTCCTTTGTTAGCCATTTAGTAATAAAACGAAATATTCAAAGTGCAATAATTTTGGAACAAATACGATAAGGAATAATAGTGTTGTGCCATTTGGTACATATACCAAAGGATAACTTTGTTCAAAGTAATACTATGTATTGTTTGATTGTATTTATCTATGTTAATAGAAAATGGGGATTTTGGGGAAAAGTTTTGCAGACTGTTACAGAGAGATTTTCGTTTAAAAATTTTAATCATAAATTACTCACTTGTTTGTCTATGGTGTGTTGACGTTCGTTGTTTACAAATAGTTCTCAAAAATCATTTACATTCTATCAAGCATGGCATCGGCAAATATTAGGGTATAAGGTGAAATACGGATTTTCTATAAACTTTCCATATGTTTAGCATTTAAACAACAAATGGGTACATTATCCTTAAGTACTTCTAGATCAACATAATCATTATGACTTTATCTGGAAAATTTTACATGTCTCTTTTTGAAACACATAAGAGCACATAAAATACATATATATATGTTTATTGATAGCTGTATAGTGCAATGTTATATTTTTCTGTTTAGTGTAGAGAAAACATGAAAATCTTATGTATATGATAAACCGGTATTTCTTTAAACTTTACAATACCGGGAGTGTACACATGTACAATTACTGTCGTTGCTATCCTTTGTTAAAAAGTAGTTTTTAATTCGTTCAATTGGTTATATATTAATTTAAGTTATTGGTCACCTGACGTAGTAACGATCAAGGGATTATTAACTATAAACACGTTTTTGTGTTTATACGAAGCACATAGTTTGTGTTTATGTTAAATATGATTGGATGGCATATCCCTGCAATTCGACGTTTTTTGGGAGTATGCTCAAGAGATTTGTGAAAAGCATGATTATCAGATTATATCATGGCATTTTTCATAACAGATACCGAAGGATCAAGGGCAGACATTGACAGAGGATTAACAATACATCTAAATGAATAATGACATATTATGATCTTTTTATCTTATGCTTAAACAATGGAGAATAATAACAGATTAATATATTTCAAAAGTGAAAAAAAAAACGGATACAACAAAATTAAATTAAAGTGCGCATAAAATAAGAATATATGTTAAGTGCTATGATATATTTTTCTGCGTAGTCTAGAGTAAAATATGAACATCTTAAGTGTGTAATAAACTGATATTTCCTTACACGTCACATTACAGAGAATGAACACAGTTACTGTCGTCCTTGGGTTGTGCGAATAAGCGGGTATATTTTCATTCGTCCCATTGGTACTTGTTTGTGTCAGAATGTCATCTTTCCTTTATTTACTAATATAATATGTTGTCCTTACATTACGGATAGGGATGTGGTTAACAGAAGTTGTGACCATTCCTTTAACATTAATTTTCAATCCTTAATACAAATATATTTGCGTGATATAGATATAGGGTATGGTTTATAGAAAGTGCGACCTTTTATTTGTTCATTAATATAATATTGTGTCCTTGCAGATATGGATTTTGTTTACTGTAGTTGTTATCATTCTGTTATAATGACATGTTTAATGAATAATACATTTGTTGCCTTGTAAAGATACATAGGAAAGTGTACAGAAACTGTGGTTTTCCCTTTATTCGTCAATATACTATGTTGTACTGCCATTGCGGATATGCATGTGGTGTACAGAAACTGTGGTTTTCCCTTTATTCGTCAATATACTATGTTGTACTGCCATTGCGGATATGCATGTGGTGTACAGAAACTGTGGTTTTCCCTTTATTCGTCGATATACTATGTTGTACTGCCATTGCGGATATGCATGTGGTGTACAGAAACTGTGGTTTTTCCTTTATTCATTAATATACTATGGTGTTCTGCCATTGGGGATATGACATGTGGTTTACAGAAATTGTGACCATAATTTCAATATATTTTGAAGCTTGTTATAGCTGGATATGCGGTATTGAATTTGTTTATCGTTGACGGCTGTACGGTGACCTAGAGTTTTTAACTTCAATGTCATTTGGTGTCTCGTGGTGTGTTGTCTGATTAGCTATTATACCACATCTTCTTATTTTATATTGATCATTAATACAAATAAAGTTGCCGGATATAGATATTGAATATGGTTTAGATAAACTGTGTTCTTTCATTAATTTGTTAGTACATCATTTTATGATGGTATATTATCAATAAAGTTTGTTATGTTTGCAATTTGAGGCTACTTTTTATTGAAGTACTTTAATGATACTGACCAGTTATGAAAACAATGATTTGTAACA